TAGCGAACACAGGGGTGGGTGGGTGTGTTCACACATGTAAGCTGCGGAAGGGCTTGCTGAGGCTAAAGGGCAGGCTACTCACTGGGTTTCTCCTCCTACATTTCCAGAAAATTCTAAAACAGAATCAGACTGTATGGGTGCAGGTGTGGTCACTGCCAGCGCCCCTGGGTACATTCCCAGGGTGGAGGGTGGGGGTGTGTTGGGGAAGAAGGCATTTGACAAGGACATTCCATGCTGCCTACGAGCTGTGGTGGGGAGGGAGGTATGCAGGAGAACAGCCACCCACCCCCCATCGTAGTTCCCGGATGGCTGCCCGGGAAGGTGTGCAGGAACGCACACCTTTGACCAAGCCTGGCACCAGCATGAGCGGCTGGCAGAAGCAATGTTGGCAGAGAGGGTGGGTGAAGGGGTGGGAAGGATGATTCTCTACCTGACAGCTGCTCAGTCCTGGATACCAGGTGGCACAGGGGTGTCTTCTCAGAAGACGTGCTGTATCACCAACACTCTCTAGGTGAGGAACCTGAGCTCGGGAGGTGTGAGCAAGCACTGCCGACAGGTGGTGGAGTCGGCCTTGAGTCACAGCGAGGGTTGTCTGTACAGCCGCTGCTCATGCTAGTGGGCCAGGGCTGTTTGAACTCCTGGGGGGCTGGGGATGCCGCCAGAGTGGCTAGCCACAGGCTTGGAATATCTTTAAAATCTCGTTTTAGCTAAAAAAACAAAACCAAACCCAAAATCTATCACAGAAGGATCGCAATGCTGTTCTCTAGGCCACTACAGTGGTTTTAACAGAAACATGATGTACCCCACCCCCCAATCATTGAATGCATCTGACATCCAGGAAATGCCACTGTGGGTTCGGGGGAACCCCTGACAGGCCAAGACCCCCCTGATGAAGGACCTGTTACTCCAGCCTCCCCAGCTGCCAGACCTGGAGAGGCCAACACCCTGCCTGGAGCCCGGGGAGGCTGGACAGCCCCCTCTCTGTGCCCCTGGTCACCTCTCCGGAGCCTGCTGGTGGGGACCCACCAGCAGGCCTCAGCTGGGCTTTCGGCGTCTCTGTCTCCCCTGATAATGACTTCCTATAAATCAGCTCTGCCCGCCGTTTTGTTCCACACGGCTCCTGGCCAACAGCAAAACTCCCCACCCGACCTCATAAATCCACCTTCATTTTCTTTCTAAATTTCTTTTAAGGCTTCTTTAATCATCACCTCGCAGCCTGGACAGATGCTCCCCACAAGGGTGAGGCCCAGCTGCCGAGTCCTGGGGTGGGGTGAGGCAGTGTTACGGCTCGAGCTGGGTGCCGTTGGGATTGGGGTAGGAAGATGCTTGTGTCTGTCTGTGCCCAGGACGCCGGGGCAGGCGGGGACCCTCAGAATCCTCAGGGCACCGCCTGGCTCTGCTCCTCGGCTCTGTGCCGAGGGACGTTTCATCAAAGATCTCCCATTTCTCTCTGCCAGAAATCCGGAGGAGGGAAATGCTGACGTTTGCTCCACCCAACAGCCACTTAGGGTGTGCCAGGCCCTGTGCCAGGCACGCCACAGGTCCATCCCCCGTCAGTCTCACAATGCCCCCACTTTAAAGGTGAGAAGGTGGAGGCTGAGCCTGGTGAAGTGATTTCTCCCTGCTGCAGACAGAGCAGAAGGCCTGGGGTGGGGCCAACCGCCTGTACTTGGCTGTTGCAGTTGTCACTGGAAACCCTCCTGAGCACACTTCTGCCTGGCCCATGTGGGCCCCGCCATGAGTGAGTCTGCTCGGGGCCATCGGGCTGCAGACCCTGAGCCCCGTTTTCTAGGGTGGCATTGTGAATTGGGCGAAAGTTGACAGAGCGGGCGGGCGGTTTTCCACTCAACAATGCACACACCTCTGCTCTAGCCGTCCTCAAGGGTGCCATCACGTAGCCACGCCCCCTTGGCTGCCCATTCCCAGTTCCCATTCCTCCTCTATTCCTAACTCTTCTGAACTGTGGCCCTGGGTAAATGCTGCCCCTTTGCTCCCCGTGGTAGATTATCCCGAGGGGTGCGTGGCTCCTTCGTGTCATTGTTTTTTGGTTGGAGACGGAACCACGGGGTGAGTGCGTGTTCGTGGACACTGGCCGCTGCTCTGTTAGATGGCTAGTTCGGAGCCCAGAGGGGCCACCTGGCTCACAAAGGCAGTGTAGACTCCTTGGTCCCACATCTGCTCCTGGGGATCCATGCCAGACCTCTGCTGGAGGAGAGAGAACCCAGCTCTTGGGAATCCCCGAACCCTGCCTCCAAGACGCTGCCTGGCAGCCAGGGAAGTTGGGGGCTTGGGAGGTGTGTGAACTAGGACCCAGTGTTCTCACCCGCAGGTCAGCGCCAGCGCCGGCTCCAATGCCTCCCAGGTCCCCTGCATCCCCCGAGAGCTGGCGAGGTGGTCGCTAGATGGCACTGTGAGCTAGCAGAGCAGCGCTGCCACCCAAATCGATCTCATTTGGAGAGGGAGCCTCCCCGCCCCCTCCTGCAAAGCCGGTCAGCCCGTGTGGCTGGCCATCGCCATTGCCCAGCCACCACCACCGCCGCCGGGGCTGCCCAGATCACCCTGGGCCAGGCAGCTGCTTCAGCCATGAGAGCCCAGGACTGCGAGGAAAGTCCTGAGTATCAAATGTATGCAGCTGCGTTCCAGCACGTTCCTCTCTTCTTCCCTGGGCCCCTCCGGTCCTGAAAGCCTGAGCAGGCTCCGCAGGCCGGAGGTCATCCTAAAGGTCAGCTGGTTGTGGTCGTTTACCCATCAGGAGATGGGGCTTCAGGTGTTCCCATACCCACTGACCTCCTGTGTGACCTTGGGCAAGTCCCTTCACCTCTCCAGGTCGGGGTGACGCTGGAGGCTTGTCTTGTCTAAAGCCTCTTCTTCGTGGTCTCCCGGGGACCAGTGGGTGGCTGGCTGGGCCCTGGGAACTCCTGGCTCCCCGACTGCGCACCCAGCCACGGCTTGTCTCCTCCCAGCCTGCTCCGGGTTGGCTCTCCCTGCCGGTTTCCTTCCCTCTCCCCAGGCTCGGAGGCTCTGGCCTGGCGCTGAGTACTGGCCACATGCCCAGAGCCTCCGCAATCAGGCTGGGCTCAGTGTGGCGGCTCTTACGCTTGGGATCCATCCCTGGGGCTCAGGGGGGGCACTCTGGCTCGGTTTCTAGCCAGATGTCCATGTTGTTAGCCGAGAGACAAGCCGGGGTGTGCAGGATAGCACGTGGGGGCAGAGGGGGGTGGGATTGGTGGGTAGGGACAGGGTGGGCTGGAGAAGGTGGGCAGACAGAGCAGTGAAATTGGTGGGCCAAATAGGTTCTTGTCCGCCAAACGGCTTCTGGAAGCCTCCTAAAGCTGCTCTGACGTGTCCTCTGGGCACACCAGCTGCCCTGGCCTCCCTCCATGCCACACTGAAGCTACTGTCCCTTCCCTGAGCTGCCCCGTCCTTCCGGCAGCACAGTGGGCTGGGGCTCCCACCCCTGTCTGTAGTCCTCCGCTGTCTTCCCAGGTCCCCTCCTTGGTTCCGGTGCCAGCCCAGCCCATGCGCATAATGCCTTCTTCACGCGCAAAGCCCGCCCCAACCTCCCAAATTCCTTCATTCAGTGGCTAACCCTCTCTCCAGCCTTGGCCTCCCTTCCGTGGTCTCCTCATGTTCAAGTGCTCCATCTGCCTCCTCCCCCCACTTTACCCCGCTCCTGGTCCATCTCCTTTTTTCCTGCGATCGAGGCACTTAATTTCCAAGCCAGCTCCGTGTACAGGACTGGGAACTATTCAGAAAAATTGACTGTACAAATCTAGGCTGAAGCTTCTGCACATTTATTCCTTTTCCCAGGGAAACATGGTTTATGGCTGACACTCGGCCCCGCCGCTCTACACCCATGCACTGGGCTCTCCAGCACTTGGATGGGGTTTGAGCTGTGCAAACAGTTTTATTGTCTAGTCATTTGTCCCCACAAACTTTGTCGGGCAGGCGGCATTCATCCATCAATCTGTCCGCATTGTCACTGAGGCCGGCAGTGGGCTTGAGAATTGAGAAAGGCATCACACTTTTGGGGGAGGCTGAGACACCCTGTCTGAGCCAGACTTGGACATGATGCCTGTCTGGGGGCAGTAGGATGGCCCCAATGACCTGAGGCTTGGGAAGCAGACCGGCCACTGCTTCTAGAAGGCTGTAGTACAAATCGAAGGATGTATTAGGAAGGGCAGCCTTCGAGGGTTGACCTACTCCAAGGGGAGACTGGCCCTGAGTGAGGCTGGGGTTCCCTTGAGAAGTGGCTATGTACAGTCTGGCTCCCCCGGGTTTTGGCGCCCCAAACAGGAACCGGATAGCACTGCCACTAGCGGCCTGTTGGCAGATGATGATGAGAGGTTCGTTTGCTGGGGTTACGTTGGCATTAGAAAAAACCTGCTTTCCCTAGAAAGATCTCCCTACCAGACAGCCTGCCAATAGGTTCTCCTTCCAGAAAGCTATGGTGTGGGCCGGGGAGGGCCCTAGGGGGAACGTGCCTTACAAAACCAAACCAAACAACCAAACAAACAAACAAAAAACCCCATACTGCAGAGGTTTTGGCACAAGAATGCAATTCTTTGAGCTCAGTTATCCGAGACGGGACCCAGCCGAAGCCTAGGGATTTAGCCCTTGATTTCCAGCCATTTATGTGTAAGTAAATAATTTCATCTGCCGTTTGGCAATAAAGAATGTTTTAAAGCTCAGCTTTTGCGACTTGTCAGTTTGTTCTGACAGAACCATTTGAGTTTCCAGCAGGGGATGGGGCACTGGTTCTGGGCAGATGGTGGCATGGGGGTTCTCAACCTGCCTTCCAGCAGACTCCTGTGTCCTATGTCCCCTAGCGAGGCACCCAAGGGCCACACCTGGCAATCCTTGGAGATGGCAGTGGGACACGGGTTGGAATGAATCCTTCCTCCCCCCTCCCCTGGGGACTCCAGTCTACCCCTTCCTGTGGCCTCTGATGGGTGAGTCCTGGATTTGCAGGGCCCTGGGGCCCACAGCCTTCGGCATACCTGTGTATTTGCTGACCCCAGCTTCCGCAGCCACATCTCGGAGTGCCAGGATGCCCCGGGAAAGATCACTGGCTTCGGGGTCCATCTCAATGAGGGCATCAGGGCCCACGTTCCCGTAGGCGTAATTGGCGATGTAGATGGAGTAGCGTCCGGAGCCCTGAAGAGGCAGGGAAGGAGGTGGGTGAGCCTGTCCTGGTGTCCCCCTCCTATCTCAAGTTCACAGCTCTGTCCAGGGGTTGGGCTCTTTGCCCAGGCTGGCATGAACAGCCTCGTACAACTACAGTGTAAACTAGCCCCCCCTGGCCCCCCCTAGAGTTGCCCAACAGAGCAGGCCTGCTTCTCCTTCCATCCTGTTCCAGAAGGAATGCTCCCTCCCACCCCCACCTTCTTATAGACAATTTTCTAATGTGCCTCTCACCAGCTGAGCTCTCTCCAGCTGCCAGCCAGGGTAGCTGCTCAATAAATATTTGCTGATTGATTGATCTATCAATTCCCATTATTCGCAGTCTCTCTGCCTCCCATTCAAGCTCGCTCCAGCCAAGATGACAAGCAAATTCCTGCACCCCCGCCTCCTCCCCACCCAGCACTTCATTCCTTTGCTTCGGAAGCATAAGGAGTACAGGTTTCTGGGCTCCCCTTTCCCGTGCCATCCCTCCTCCTCTTCTGATCATCAGAGAGAACTATTATAGCACCTTGGACCTCACCCTGCTGTTTTAAGGTTTTATTCCCCCACCCCCATCTTCTTCTTTGTGTCCAGGAGACGCCCCGGGCAACCGCTCCTCTCTGCCGTAGCCATCCTCTTGAGCCCAAACCCCTGCTGATGAGAGACCCTTTTGCTCCTGTTAGTATAATGGTGTTTCTTCAACGGTTGCCTCTTCTGTCCCAGAAGATCCACTCCATTTCCAAATCTGTTTCCTAGCTCTCCTCTCATCCTTTGACTCACTTCCTTCCAAGGAAGCTGGCAGGAAATGTGTCTGGAGCTCCGACTAGGAGTACGGGGCACTCGGCTACAAATGCACCGAAGACAGGGCCCTGCCCGCAGCTCGAGTATCATCGAGCGTGGCAGGTGAGCCGCTGCCCAGGCTGGTGCCAGGGAAACCGATGAGCTCAAGTGTGTGCACAGCTACTCCCCCTTCTCGGCCTCCAATCCAATGGCCCCGTGGGCGAAGCCCTCAGCCCATCCACCTGGTGCCTGATTTTAAGGTCCCTTCTTGGGGGACGCTGACTAAGAGCCTGTCACAGGGGCCTGGTGGCGCAGTGGTGAGAGCCTGGCTGCGAACTGAAAGGTCACCAGCAGCCTGAACCCATCAGATGCGGCAGGCTGCTTCTGTAAAAGGTTACAGCCTCTGTAGTTGGAATTGACCTGGTGGCAATGGGCTTCTTTCTTTCTTTTTAAAAACCTGTTTGGCTGGTGGGTGAGGTCCAGAGAGGGGGCGGAGGTGCAAGCCCAGCACCTCAGCCATCCTGTGGTGACATGGCAGTGACGGTGTCCAGGGTGTCCGGGGCACAGGGTGGCTTTGAACCACGGCAGCGGAAGTCGAGGGGAGAGAGCATTCCGGGCAGAAAGAAGAAGCAGTGGTGTATTCGGGCAGTGGGGCTTTGGTGGTGGATTGGTTGCCTTCCCGGCAGAAGAGCTGAGTCCAGTTTCCCGCTCAGGGGCCTCATGCGAGGCCACCACTCGCCTGTCCTTGGAGACTTGCTTGTGGCTCTGACACGGCACAGGTTCAGCAGAGCTTCCAGACCAAGACACACAGGAAGCAAGACCTGGCGAGCGAATTCCAAATAGCAGCTCATAAAAACCTCATGGAGCACAAACAGTGCAATCCTGTGGTGTATGTATGGATTTGCCTCGAGTTAGTGGCCCTGGTGATGGCAGTCACCAACAACTACCACCACCACAGGGGAAGCAGTTGGTTCACTTTGTGCTAGAACGCTAAGTGGAAAGGAGGAAGCTCTCCAGGTTATCCGAGGCTCCCGGGGACCCGTGCTTTACCTCCCCTGGGCACAGGACCAGCCGCGTTGGTGCCACCTGGGAGCATGTTAGACAGACTCACGGACCCCACTCCAGCTGTCCTGAATCAGAACCTGCCTTTTAACAAGAGTGCCCCTGCTCGAGAGTCCTCTGCAAATCTAAAGCAGGCGGTGCACGGCTTTACGACGGACGTGGTTTCCGGGTGAGGGGGTTACTTCGCAAGGCTCCCCGCCCGTCGCCAGAACAGCCTGTGCTCAGAACGATGGGATGGAGGGAGAACAGCCCGGGGCCAAAGGGCAAGGTGAGCTGGCGCTGTCACCGCGCCAGACCCTACCAGCTGTTCCAATCCCATCAACAAATGGGCAATTAAGCCCACACGGACTGAAATACACTCTGCTAGGAATTAGGATATTTATAAAATCCCTCCATCCCCAAGTCCCAGCTTCACTCTGTTGGGGTGACACGACTGGGAAGCACAATGTGTGTCACTTGGGAAGACAACAGGGATTCACGTGGGAACTTGACCGCAGCCTTTCTGGGAAGGGAGGAGGGAGATGTTCTGTAGCTCTGGGCGCAGTGCCGTGGCTCTCACACTTCAGTGCCCCTCTGAGTCACCTGGGCCCACACACGCCCACTGTCCTCAAGCCGAGGCCAACTGGGGCTGTGGCACACAGCACCAACTGCCCAGTGGAGCGGCACTCGGCCGTCTTCCCCTCGTTGAGGCCCTGGTTGCAGCCACTGTGCCAATCCTCCCCCACGAGGGCCTTCCGCCTCTTCTCTGACCCTCTGCTTTCCCAAGCTCGACGTCCTTCTCCAGGGACTGGTCCCTCCTGAATAACACGTCCAACGTACGGGAGATGAGGTCGCTTCTCCAAGGAGCATCCTGGCTACCCTTCCTCCGAGAGAGGTCTGTCTGTTCTCCCGGCAGCCCGGAGCGCTGTCAATATTCTTTGCCGGCACCATCATTCAAATGTGTCGATCCTTCTGTGGTCTTCCTTACTCGCTGTCCAACTTCCCCATGCATGTGAGGTGATTGGAAACACTGTGGCTTGGGTCAGGGGTACCTCTGTCCTCAAAGTGACAACCTTGTTCCTTTAAAGAGGTTCTGGGCAGCAGATAGGCCTGATGCAATGTGTCCCCTGATCTCTTGACGATTGCTTCCATGAGCATAGCTTTAAGTTATTGAAGGCGGTCAAGGATTCCTTTTTGCTCGTATCCACAATTGTTTCTCCGCTCATCACGATGTTGCCTGCCTCACAGTGACCCTATGTAGGAATTCTGAGACTATAAACCTAACAGAAGCAGGTAACCTCATCTTTCTACTAAGGAGTGGCTGGTGGGTTTGAACCACTGACCTTGAGGTCAGCAGGCCAAGGTTTACCTGGCAAGGCCACCAGGATTTAACCTGGGAGGCTTGTGAAAATGCACATGCATGCACATGCTGGGCCCCACCGCTGAGTTTCTGCGTCAGTGGGTCCTGGGTGGGCCCCGGTGGTGCTGGTACTGCTGGCTTGGTGACCACACTTTGAGAACCTCTGACCCAGGGATAGCCCCGGTGGCATCATGGGTCCCACACTGGGCTGCTAACCGCAAGGTCAGTAGTTTGACCCCACAGCAGCTCTGAGGGAGGAAGTTGAGGCTCTCTGCTCCTGGAAAGACTTACAGCCTCAGAAAGCCACAGGGGCCATTCTGCGCTGCCTTACAGTGGCTGTGAGTCGGGCCGACTGGAAGGCAGTGCGTTTGGTCTTGGGGTGCTAGGCTCTGTTCTTGGGCAGCCTCCCAGCCTGCTGCTCCGCACACATTACATGGGGCTCATGCTCTCCTGTCTCCTAGCAAGGCTGTGCGAAGATGAGATAAAACAACGTACGTGAAAGGTCTCTGAAGAGATACCCATGTGATATAAACATGAGGTATAGTCATTATGGATCAGGGAATGCTTCCTGGAAGAAGCTTTGAGCTCAATCCAGAAGGGTAAGACTGATGGAGGGCCTGAACTGTAGAGAGGGGCCGGCGGGGGCTCAGGTTCTGGGTTTGGGGCAGAAGAAGAGCAGGGGTGGAAGGGCAGAGAAGGGGCCGAAGGGGTGGTGGTGGGAGGGGGAGGAAGGGTGGCAGCCAATGGCCTGAGGAGGACTGACGTGTGCTGTATGGCTCTCAGCGTTGAGAACCCTCACGCACCAGCGGGCCTGGTTGAAAGGCTGGGTCCAGTGGGTCTGGAATGGAGCCGGGGAGTTTGCCTTTCTGACCACGCAGCTGATTCAGTCCGGGGACTACCCTGGGGGAACCAGTGACCCAGGCTGTGGAGCTGAAGGGTCAGTGGAGTGAACTATGCTGGCGTCAAACTTGTTCGAAATTCGCGTCTGAAACCATTTCATCCAGAGGCAGGGTGGCCCGGAGATGAAAGGCACCTGCTTCATCTCAGTCAAGTCCTGGCTTGGCCTGCCACTTAGCGGGTGGCCAAGTTCCTAACTGCCCAGAGCCTTGATTTCCACACCTGTGAAATGGCATAGCAATGGCACTGACCTCCTAGAGACCGATGGGAGGAGTCCGCGAAAGAAGGTGCATGAACCATGCTGCACTGTGCTTGCCAGGACGTTAAAGAGAGTGTTGGGCTTTCAACTCCCGCCAAGAGTTACAGTCTCAGAACCCCTGGGGACAATTCTGCCCTGTCCTGTCGGGTGGTAATGAGTCAGCCTGGGCTCCATGGTCAGGGGAGGCGAGTGAGCTGCTCTGAGCCGGCTGGAGTTGGATGTTTTGTTTGGTTATCATTACATTTCCCTTTTCCTCCCTTCCAGAAGCCTGCTGCGATTGCCCCTTTCTTCCACCATCCTCAGGCCCCAGGGGCGGCCCAGGGTGGGCAGGGCTCAGAAAGTAATTCCCCCCCTGGAGGCAGATGGACCGTGGGAATTCTCACTGCTTCCCAGAGGCCTGGGAGGTTGAGGGCTGGGGCTGGGCGGGTGGGAGCAGGCTGCTAAGTGCCCGCCTACTGTGCTGTGGTGCCAAAGTGCCCTCTTTTATTTTTTTTGAATTCACATGGTGCCTTTGTCCTGTGGTTAGGGCGTGGGTGTGCAGAGGCCCTGGCTGGAACAAAGAGTGGTCTCCTTTGGATTAACCTTCCTGTCTCTTCCACTAACTCTCAGAGACCACTCCCACCTGAGTGGAGGGTGGGGAAGGCTGTTCGGGACCAAGTGTGGCAGCAAGTATGAACTGGAGCCAGAGAGAGGGCCCCCCTGCCCCAACCTAGGCCTGGCTGGCCCCCCCCAGACACGCCCCACTCTCAAAGGCTGTCCACAGCTGCCTCCCCATCTCCTCCCCTCGGGCAGGAGTCCAGGTGGCACGGATTCAGGTCAGGGCTAAATGTGGCTTCCCAGCACCAGCTTGCTAAGAAATAAATATTTATACCTGGCACCTGCCTTCTCTGGAGGCCTGGAGGCCCCTGCTGTGAAGATTCACGCTGAATCCCCAATCCCCTCCCTGGGCTGGCGGTGCAGCTCCATTCCAGGAGAGTCAGCCCCCTCGGCCCACGCCCGGAACAGGCCCAGAGATGCTCCGTGGAAGTGGAGTGGCAGCTGTTCTAGAGCCCTGGAGGTGGGTGGCAGGGGAGCAGGTGACAGCAGGGATAAATCACCTCTCTGAGCTGCCGGCTGACAAGGCGCCCCGGGGGCCACCCTCAGGGCAGATGGCTGCAGCTGCTTGCCCCAGCCCACCCACCTTAGGTAACCTCCCGTCTCTCTCTGGAGCTCCACTTTGGCCAGGCACCTTTGTGTAGGGTCCTCTAGAAGCCGTGGGAAGACTGATGAAGCTATTGACGAGCTTAAGGCCTTATGCCCCCTGACCATCCGCTGCTTCCCCCCTCGCTCCGTGTCCCTGTGTTCCATGAACATCGGGGTGGAAGGCTCCTGGGTTGGTGGCTGGAACATAGGAGGCCCTCACTAAATGGAAGCTGTAAAAGGGAATGAGTGAGCCCCCAGGCTTTGGAACTAGAAGATTCTGGTGTGTGTCCCAGGGACAACACAAATCTGTTTGGGGTCCTCTCGGAGCTGAGCCTCACATGCTCATCTGTCTGATGGGCCCCATGGGAATAACACCCAGTCTGCTTCCTCGAGGGGCACTGAGGAGCACCGTGTAGGGGCACCCAGTATGATGGGACGTCTACCAAGTCTGAGCCGCGAGAGTCTAGGGGCTGCTGGGGCAACCAGCCTTCAAGCCTGGCCCTGAGCTCCTCCACTCGGCCTGCGAGCCCCTCAGCTGGCTCTGCCCCGGCAGCTGTGTGTGCTCCGCTTTGCCCGGGGCACTCGGAGCCCCTGCACTCACCGTCCTGTCCACACAGGCCACGGAGCGTCCGGCAAAGAGGCTGGCCACGCCACGGGCCACGTTGACCTCGTCGCTCAGGATGTCTTCCCAGCGGTTGTTGCGGAACTTGAACAGCTTGTCAGTGTATGTGGCCACGCCTGGGGAGGGAGGGAGGGGGTGCTCGTGGGCCAGGCGCCTGGGCACCTGTCTGACCTCTGGCTTCGCCCCATGGCACCTGTCATGAGGTGATGGGTCATCCCCCCGAGACCAGGCGAGACCCCCCTCTGCGGGCATGGCAGTGCTTTCTGTGAAGAGAAGAGACTGGGGGGCGCCGGGGAAGGGGCGTAGGAAAGTGACCTCAGAAACAAGGGGAGCCAAGCTCGCATGGCATGCCTAGGGTGGCCCTCGACAGCTGGAATCAAACCGGGAACAAGGCCCAGAGGCCTGGGGTGACCAGTCGTGTCCCAGGAAGCCTCTTTCCCTGGGAGAAAGCAACTCCCCACTCGACTTCTCCCTGCTGGATCGCAGGGCCCAATCTGGGTCTCAGAACAAATCATCCTGTTGGCTGGTAGGCCTCTAAGTCCAGGCCAAGGAAGGATCTAGAAGTGGAGCTCAGGTAGAAGTGTCACCCCCACCTGCCTTCCCCCAGGGAACAGGAGGACAGCAGGGTCAGCCCTCAGCACATTGGGAGGTACAGGCAGCCATGGGGGGCGGGGTGCTCTCAGGAGGAAGCAGCACATCCACCTCTTTTGAGAGGCAGATGGAGATTGAGGGCCCCTGGGCTCAGGCAGCTGCAGATGGGCACGAAAGCAGCATGCTGAGTGGCAAAGGCCATGGCCTTCCGATGCCCACCAACAGCTAAGAAGCCTTGTTTTGGGGGCTGGAGCTCAAGCCCTTCCGAATGGCCGCCAGAGGAGAGCGTCCCCTCTGCCCTGACCCTTGGCTTCCCTCAGGCTGACTCCAGACACAGCCGTTCTGTTTGAGGAGGCACTGTGAGGTAGGGTCAGGGCCCAGCCCAGGAAGCAGGGAGAGGAGGGAGACCTGGGAGGGGAGTGGACCTGGGGACACAGCCCTGACCCTGACTCCCTGCTGCTGCCTCAGGGTGGTGGGGTGGTGGTGGGGGGGCAGCGCCACAACATGGTCAAAGGCTCTGGGTTTAGCGTAACACCAGCCCAGGTACCAATGTCGCTTCTACCTTGATCCCAGGGCTGCTTGGGGTCTAGTGGTTTCATTTGGGACAAGTTGCTTAGCACCTTGGCGCTTCTGTTTTTCTGACCTGTCAAACGGGGGTGACCAGAGTAACCACACTCCAATTTACCGCGAGACCTAAATGAGAGGATGCACTTGAAGGGTTAGCACAGCACCAAGCATATGCTAAGCCTACACAAGCGGCGGCTATTATTAGACAGAAATGATGGCTCCTGTGTTACAGGGGAGACACTTGGTGGAGGTCCTTTCAGGGATCTCGGCTCTGTGCCAGAGTGGTTTGATGAGGGTCAGTGATGGTGGTGGTGGTGGTGGTGGTGTGTGTGTGCGCGAGAGAGAGTAAGAGTATATCTGAATGTGTGTAGGAAGACTGTGTGAGGAATGTATGTGTGACAGTGCATGCGAATGCCTAAGAGTGTATGCGTGAGAATGTGTGCATGTGTTTGAATAGGTACAATATATGTGAATATGTATGAAGAGTGTATGTGTGAATGAGTGTGTGTTAGAGTGTGAGTACAAATGTGTGAGCAAGTGAATGTGCGACGGAGTATATGTGGATATGTGTTGGTGAGTGTGAGCTTAAGTGTGTATGACTGAGCAGGAGTGTGTGTGTGTGACTCCACTCAAGTGACAACACAGGGGTCTCTGAGGGGCGTGGTCCTGTGGAGACCTAAGGGGACAGGCCCGGCCAGGCAGGAGCATTCTTGGGGTCCTGGAGTCACCCACAAGCAGGGCTGCCAGATGCCAGTGGCAGCCTGTCCCTGCCTAGGCTCCTCAGGTTGCCGGGCCAGGTCTGCGTGAATAGAGGTTTGCGCTCAGGCCCACAAGGCTCAGCGGTCGGTCACCATGGGCCTGCTGTGGCTCCGGGAGGGATCCCGCTCCCTGGAGAAACCAAGACGACAGTTTCCTGCATCCGAGCTCGGATCTGACTCATGAGCCATGTGGCCTCCCACCTAGAACCTATTCTCCTCCAGCCGCGGTCTCCTCATCTGACAGCTGTGCTCCTCCCAGTGTCGGGGTGGTGGTGGTGGAGGAGGGGAACGTGCGAGCAGATGGGTCAGGTTCTCTGGAAGGCTTGGTGGGTAGGGGGGACGACTCAGCGGCACCCCCACCTGTGTCCCTCCTCAACTCCTTGGAGCCAGTTGCATTTGGGAATACAGATGTTCTCTTCAGAGCTTTGAAAGGTAACACAGCCCACACACCGTTTATTACATAACACCCCCAGCAGGGACTGGGGGCAGCACCCCATAATTAAACACATTAATATTTCTGCAGCAAAACATGAATATTCACACGAAGTGGTATAAATAAGGCCTATAAATAGCTCACGTCAGCTCAGGGCAGACTTTTCTGTCAATTGAGTTTCCCACAAACTTAAAGCACTGAGGCTTTGAGTGCCTTTCGCATTTCGGGGCTGTGGAGAAGGGCTCGTCATCACTGCTGCGCGGGGTGGCTGCTGTGGTCATGGGGCAGTCACAGCCATGTCATCATGCCCTGGTGCCTGGAGGGGATCTGAGGGCACCCCAACCTCCACAGGCTTCCAGCTCTCTAGCCCTCATCAACAGAGACCCTTCACCTTCGCGGCCAAACCAGTGCCCCTTTAGATTCTGTGTGGTCAGTAACCCAGTCCCTTCCTAACCCTGTCCTGAAATGTGGGACATATAGCACCCACCTACATTTCAGCCTCTCAGGTTCCTTGGGAACCTGCTATCCCAGTGCTAATACTTGTAGATTCTGATTCAGTTTGTCTTCTGGGCACCTGTACCTGTAACTGCATGAATCTGAAGAAATGGGCCTCCCTACCTTGCCAACCCTACCTCCAGCGTCCACTTGGGACATATTTGTCTCACAGAATTGTCTCAAGATTCATATTACCTGAAAAAAAAAATCCCCTTGGTTTCAGCATGCCTTCCATTACTGAAAACCCCAGCATTCCAAAAAACCCAAATTCACTGCCATCGAGTTGATTCCAACTCACAGCGACCTTCTAGGACAGAGTAGAACTGCCCCTGTGGGTTTCCAAGACTGTCACTCTTTACGGGGGTAGAAAGCCTCATCTTTCTCCTGCAGAGTGGTGGGTCGTTTCAAACTGCTGACCTTGCGGTTTGCAGCCCAACCCATAGCCACCACGCCACGAAGATTAGCAAACCCCAAAGTCAAAGCTGCAAACCATCCATCCAGGAAAGGGCCAGGCACCTCAGCTACTCACCACAAATGCTTGGGCCTCTGGTGTCCCCTTCAGATTATGCAGAGGCGATCTCTCAAGTCCCCGAGTTCCTAGCTCAGGGAGACAAGGGGAACAAAGGGGCCTGGCTGACTCTAGCCCTCTCTGTGTGCCTTTACCTCCGATCCCTCCTGCTTATCCAGGGCAGCGGTTCCCAGCGTGCGCCCTGCGGAACAACCCCCCCCCCCCCCCCCCCCCCCCCCCCCCCCCCCCCCCCCCCCCCCGCAGTCTAATTGCTGCTGGGAGGAGGGGAGGGCTCGGGACATCCGAGTTTGGGGCAGACACTTCCTCTCTCTTGGATTTCCAAGTGATGACAGCAGTCTCAAAAGCTTGGGGACGTCTTGCGGGATAAATCGCCTGCTTCATTTTATGTACCAGTCCCTGGGTGAGGCACGAACAAGGAAGCACTCGACCACTAGCCAAAAGGCTGGCTGGTCAGATCCACCCTGAAGCACCTTGGCAGACGTTGGGGCCATCTGCTTCTGCAAGGTCCCAGCTTACAGCGGCCCCAGGGTGCAGTTCTACCCTGCACACTCAGAGGGTGGGTGGGGGTAGGGTTCAGAATCAAGTTGCTGGCAAACCAGTGACCATTTCATCCAGCCCAGCCTTCCCCAAACTGACTCGGCCTGGGCCCCACCTTCTTGCGGGCGGCCCTCAGCACCCGGGAGATGGCACTGGGCGGACGGTCCTATCGGGCTGGGCTGGGCGGCCTGCGGGGTGAGGGTGCGGGGTGCAGTGGGCTGCTCTAGCCTTCTAGCTCCCGAACCCATCAGGCCTGCCCAGAAGAATAAACTCATTAAGGTAAAATGTGCACAGCGGTGCAGAGCCTTGTAGATCATAACCGGGAACGGCAAAATCAATGGCGGCCCTTCTGCAGGCAGAGGCCCCGAGGCCTGGGCGACAGGAGGAATGGGGGCCCGTGATTTAGGAAGAGCAAACGCTCTGGCAGCTGCAACCTGGGTAATTAGGTGTGTCAGGAAGACAGATAAACAACTAGCGGTACGGGTCGATGGCAAAGGCAGTAAACACCCAGCCCCGGCCCCTGGCCCGTGTCAGCACCGAATCCCGCCTTCTGGCTCCTTGTAGTGGCACTCTGGCCCGGGGCCCCTCGTGGAGTGGGGGCAGCTGCTGGGGAGAGGAGAGGCTGTGCCCGGGCGGAGATCTGGGAGGAACAGAAGGGTGGGGAGGACAGGGCAGGGCAGGGGGGTCTTTGGAGGTCACTGCCCTACACTAGGTATGTCTGGAGGTCCCCATTCCTGGTTTTGATCTGTCTCTCATGACTTGTTAGCTTAGTAACCTTGAGCCATGGCCTCGCCTCGCTAAGCCTCAATGTCTCCATCTGTGAAATGGGGTGGCTGGGCGACCACAGGATGAATTCACCCAGAGCCGATGGGTTCATCTTGGCATGTATGGAGCCTCGAAGGAATCAGAGTCCAGCGGAACTGCTAGGTTGCTCTCAGGTGGCTAGGAGGGGAGGCTCAGGTGTCACCCCCACCCCCGCCCCATCTCTGTGTGCCAGGTGCTTCAGGCGGCCGCACGGAAGCAGGCACCGTGGCCCCTGATGCAGGGCGTTCATTTGACAACACAGGGGCAAGTAGAGGAGATATCATGGGCCAGCATGAGAACAAGAGCGAACACTTCCATCGAGTTTACTGGGAGACACTCAGCTCGCAGGTGCTTCATCCGCGAGTCAGGCTACCGCCTCGGAAACCCGCAGGGGCAGTTCTG